CGCCTCCTATCCACCTCAGGGAGAGTGCGGTTGAGGTAGTGCTTCGCCCCAGTCGTGTTTGCCGCCTCAAACAGACTTCTCTCAGGCAAAGGAGGAGGGATGAGCTCCTCGCCCCTGCCAGGGCCCAGCACCTCGGCCTCTTCCCTCTCTCGGACCTCAGGAACGGTTTCTAGAGGAGAAGGCCGGGGCACGAACTCCACCACCTCGTCCCCCCTGGCTTCTATCTCTGCCACCCTCCTCTTCTTCCTCTGGAGCGGTGCCACCTCTTCACTTACATCCTCGCCACCTCCCATTATAGGCACCGCCCTTGGCTGTACCTCCACAGCCCGAGCAGAGGTGCTGGGCAAGCGCTCTTTCTCCGGCACCCCTCTGTTCGCCGCAGCTGAAGTCATTGACTTCTTCCTTGGCTTCTTTGGGATGCGCAGTCCCCCAACAGCACTTGTAAACTCGTCCATCTCAGCTGCAAAACAAGCACAAAGGTCAAAACACACCAACTAAAATCTAACCAACATAGCACAGTATAAACATACACAAACCTTCGCTCAATGAGCTTGGCCCATAGAGCTCAGCAGCTTCTATTGCCTTCGAACTGGTGAGGTACGAGATATCCACTACGTCTCCATCTTCCCTCACCAGCTTCTCCACTTCCTCCACCTCATCCTCGTTCAGCTTATAGTTGTTCTGCTTGGTTTTCTTTGCCTTCCAAGCAAACAACTGTTCCACTTCGGCATCCCTCATGCTCCACTCGGTGTCATCCACAAAGAAGAATTTTTCTTTTCAACCTTTGATGGATGACGGTCTAGCAGTGAATAAATTCCTATTACCTTTGCTGGACGACCAAAGACCGAAGTAGTACCACCCCTTCTCCCCCCTACCCCCAGCCTTAATAATAAAAAAATGTTTAAACATGTTTACGGTCGGGACCCCCACCCCCCGAACTCTACAGTATACAAGAAAACCTACTATTACCCTTATGGCATTTAGGGTTAGTTGGGTTATTCCTATACTATAATCTAATAGTAGCCCAACCAGTAACTCTGGAATGTGAAACCTAAGCCCTGCAATCAAATAATGCAGGTATATGGGCATCCAATGTTCTCGGGGTGCTGAACATGCCCTCTCATTCACCCCGGCAGGCCTGATTAGGACATGGTGGGGAAGGTTACAGTTCCCTACTAACCCCCTAAAGCTACTTCTACTCCCTAATTCACTCACATACCCCCTCACCTCAGAAACTATCTCTAAGTCTGGGTCATAGCACCCATCAACGCCACCCCCAGATTCCAAAATGTTTGAGGGAATCTCCTCTTCCTCCTCCTCTACCATTACTTCATCCCTTCTCTCCTCCACCGTCCTCCCCGAACTCGTTGGAGACGGATTGCTCTCCATATCCATCCTACCGTAATCCAGGGGCATCACTTCACTCCCCACTACACTCCTGGTCTCTTCCGAAGACATCTCAATTTCTGCATAAAGGGGGAGGAGGAACGATGTCAGGACCCTTAACAATTCCAGCACACTCAACACATTCTCACTCCCAACCCTAATTTCCTCCAAAAAACCCAAAATCAACCACAGAAAGGGAGAAAGGAGGGCACCACTTCGACAAAATCAAAGTTAAAAATTCATAAACTTTACCTAATTTTGGTCTTGGAAACTGTTGTTGAAATCTTGATTGAAGCACAAACCGCGCGAAACCGCAGAAATTTAGT